GTCTCCGTGACAACCTGAAATCTTACGTAACAAAGCAGAATTCATCTTGAAGAGCTGATAGCTAGTCAACAAATCCACCTCCTTTTACGAAACTTGAAAATTCCTTACTATTTTCACAAGTCTCTACCACCGAATCCTATCCAGAACCATTTGAATAGTGTACATTTTGATACATTATTTATTTAACATAAGTTACATTATCCTCCCAACTATGCCTAAGTCTCCGACATGGCTGTTGGTTTCAGAATTTTCATGCTAAAATTTTATTAAACTTATATTTTCCCCATACGTACTACATGACTTACCAATCTAATTTTTTCTCACATGTAATTTGAAGAGTGCAATTTATGAGACTCCTCAATATGCGATTTGAAATTCTCTCCCATTTCATTGGAAGGAAGGTCTTCTGATACTCTATACCTCTCAGTAAGGATTACGTAAACGTAGAAAAAAATCTGTGATCTGTGATTTGCACAAATTCACAAGGTTGACTTATGCAGTCTACTCTGAAGTATTACAAACAAATTATTAAGCACCTGTATGAACAGAAAATCAGTCTAAAATGTAAAATATTCGTGTATCGTAAAATTACGTCATAAACAGGTATGTGTCTAAACCACTGCAGTTGATACAGTGTCGTAACCAAACCTCCCATGACGTCACTTTCCTTGCTGCAAAACAGACGCAGGTCTAAATGTCTTTTTTGCTGTAGAATGCAGCTCGTATCACGTGGAGTCCACATGTGCTCACCCTTGCCTCCTGTAATGAATGGACTAAATCAAATGACCCCGAAATTCTGAGCTTCTCTGGGAATGAACTGCTGCCACATGGTGCTCCACGATGCAGGGTTAAATATCTCGCATTATTTCATAACCTGGACCACTCTGTCAGTGATGCAATGGGATACGATCTTGGATAAAAAGATCAGTTCTTTATGTCCACAAATTCACATCAGCTGTGACGCCCACACAACAGACACAAAATTATTCTTTATGTTGGGTTAAGTCGACCTGGACCGCTCACCTTCAATCTACACCCGAGAATAAGAATTCGTATAGTTTTAATTCCATGCCCTCCATTGACCTCTGAGATGCGAGGCTCACTTTATGGCTTTAATTTGTCTCTGTTTTAAGTTACTTCCTTTGTTTAACGCCACTTATTCAACTGCAAAATACGTCGTCAATTAAGTGTGCCAGTATGATTATGGCTACTGGAGGGACGGATATATTTTACAGGAAACTTGTTAGACTTCGAAACATGGAACTCCAGTACGTAAAGCTGGAATGTTAATCATTTTTCTCATTCCACAGAATAAGCACATTGCCCCGTGCAAATTCAGAAATAATCTCTTCAGCCAATAAATTCATAGAGTGCACTGTGCAAGGATAAGAAAGGTTCAGTGTGTTAAACTTACTGACCAAACACTGGACGATCGGTTAGAATGCATCAGGAACAAAAACCTTTCTCTTTGCATCCAGACGGCTTCCGTATCTAATTTAGTGATTTATGATAGCACAAGGAATTATTTACAGTCTTAAAGCATCCCGAATGTGAAGAATTGATGCAATTGCGCCAGATTTAAATTCATTACTAGACTTTTCTTGAGTTACGCAACAGAAGCATCGTTTAAAAAGCACTGGGTTTTCTGATCTGTCTTTATTTGGTCTCTGTGTCTTGCCATTTCTCGATGGGCAAGCCTAACTAACTTGACTTTTCAACAACGTAAGTTGCATTACACCATGAGGCAAGCCTAACTAACTTGACTTTTCAAGAACGTAAGTTGCATTACACCATGGAAGTTTTTGCTTCATAACTTACGAAAGTTCCATTAATAAAAGTCAAGATGGAGAGGCTTGTAATACTCATAATAAAGGTACATTTGTGCCAGCTGGATGTTATGTAGTGCAACTATCAGGCATGTTCATGTATCGTAATGAGAAATATCAAGCGGTTAGTCTCCAATAAAACTTGAATGTTACGTAAAATATCATTTCGTTGCTTGTCATTGCCGTGTAGTAATCCAGATTTCTGTATAAAGCTAGGTAGAAATCAATGGCGAAAGCTGACTGCCACCTGACATTGTTTTCAATCCACATTTCACGTCTGATTCCTCGACATTACATTTTCTCGTATTACAGGTGAAAGTTGTCTTTTGAGTCCAATTGCCACGCCACGAAGACATACAGAAGGTAGCCCAAACCTTAACAGGATGAATGAAGTCATGACGAAGAGACCCTACAGTGGCCATAGGATAGCAGGCAGAATGGATCTCAGTCCGGATACCAAGCCTCGACGTCTGAGCTACCGTGGCTTATTAAAAATGCCAGACATAAGACATCTGCAACGCTAGCCGCGTCACTATAGAAGTCTCTGATGATGGAGGCAGATACAATCTTCGAAATATACCACTGATTGCTTGAGAGAATTGTGTTCTATTTATTAAATGTTAAAACCTACGAATCCATTCTAGAGAGGAAATGAAGTCAAACTAAAGGCAATTTATCTTAAATCTGAGAACTGTATCGATGAAGGAAATGAAAAGACAAAGATCTGATGGGCATGAGATGTAACACGCGTGGGAGAGATGATAAATACATGTACAATTTCAATAAAAAAACATGAAGGAAGATCATCTGAGAGGAGACGGCGTAGATGGGTGTATAATATTAAAGTGGAGCTTACGGAAACTGGAATTACTTGGCTCTGGATACTGTTCAATCCAATCTTATCTTATCTTATGAACACTGTGATATATCTTCTGTTGTTATAAACGGCTAGGATTATTTTGGTCAGCTGAACAACTATCAGCTTTTTAAGAAGGACTCCGCCCCATGTAGTTAGTTAGTATAACGCTTATATCCACTTATTATAACAAATTGGTTTTAATTACTTGTGCCATGAATATGAGATTAAAAAATATTGAATATCAATTAGTCAATTTATAAGATGTGTTAGAATATCATTTCGACTTCAGAAGTACGTGGAAGGCAATGCAGAGCTCGTCTTTCTTACAAGGAAGGAGTTATTACAATAATATCAATTTAGTAACGTTAAATTGATCTAGTGAATAGAATGGCGGTGATAATGTTCCCTATTACCTGTACACAGAATCGAACTCTAGCCATCATATTCATACACTTTAATAATGAGATGTGACGGCCTTTGAAGGAATTTTTAATTCCAGATTTTACCAGCGTTAGTTCAAGAGAACGTAAATTATTCATACGTGGATAAACATGAGAGAAAAGTAGTGATGATAAATATTGCATCTGTTTCAAACTGTGACATGAGAGAAAAGTAGTGATGATAAATGTCGCATCTGTTTCAAACTGTAAAACATTTGATGTTAAGCTTTCACGGCGGTTTTCGTTAATAAAGTCTTCTCGGTCTATCAGCCGTGTTAGATGGTGATAAATCACGGCTGATAGCCCGAGAAGACTTTATTTATGTAACATTTGCTGAGTTTTGAAAATATTTGTACCCCTTGTGTTACTTTTAAATATGTTTCGTTCTTTAAGAGGACGAATTACAGGATAGTATGAACGATTTAAAAATTTACGGTATCTGTGAAAGATAAAACTTTTGGACCATAAATGAAAGAACCATGACTAAATGCTTTGCTACCCTCATTCACTGTTTCAGTGCGTGTTCTTGTTCCCGTCAAAGGGGGTGGAGGGTGTCTGCGTGTGGTCTGATGGTGAGATACATGGGAATTTATAGCTTGCCACGTTCGTCTTCATTCTTGACTCATGAATTAAGGAAAAGGTTTTAAAATGTATCAGACTAGAACGGAACATTATCGCATAAGCACACTAATCATTATCTAATTAAGAGCAGAGTAACCGAATTCAAACTCGCAATTAACCGTCTCAGTCTTCTCTCGGATCCAACATTGTGGTCTACTTGCTTACGCTTCGAATTCGGGAGGTCCCAGGATCAAATCTAAGTCCAGATGTCGACTAAACTGACCAAGGAGTTATTCCTCAGTTCGACTAAACTGACCAAGGAGTTATTCCAGAGACCCACCAAGAAAATTCTGGGACAGCACCTTGAAATAGGCTACGAACTCTTATTTATATATTTTAAATTCATCACACACACATTATTCTACGATTAAAACTATATGGGCCTGCCTATGACCCTTGATTAAATTAATTCTCCCAAAGAATATTGTTCCTTCGAAACAGAAATTTACATAAACAATATTTAATAATTTAGGTTAGGTTCCGCAAAGAAAACACAACGCTCCAACATTAAAAAGTTAACACTGCTTTAGAAGATAGTACTTGTTTATTGTCAGAATCGTAAGAATCTCGCAAATACAAGATGAAAAATTATTGATTACTGAAGCTGGTGGGACTTTTAAATTCTTTGGGTTTTAAAGGGTTGATATTAATACATATACAGATATAATGTTACTTGTAGTTTTAAATAGGTCAACTGATCCCTCACTTTGAGAGAAGAAAATACGAGTTAGAGTATGTACTTATAACAACGAAGACAAAAATAATGATTTGAACATAAAAGTGAGAACATTTTATAAGGGGGAGTTTTACAATTTGAATCATTCATGTACTGTTTGGGAACAGGGTAGTCACAATCGAATTCTATAGCGCTGAAGAACAGAATATTAATATTTGCATTTACTTTATATGGTCTCATATTTTGAGAAAATAAATTACGTATGTTTAAAAACACCTACGCCTACTCAACAGAACTGACTCAAGATAGGGACAAATTTTGAGATCTTGTAATGACTGGAATTGACATTCGTGTGAAAAGAAGGGATTTATGAATAACTGATAATTCATCCCTGTAAAGTACGATGCGTATTGAGCAGGAGATGTACTATAAATATAGCACTTATCGGGAAGTATTTAAATGTATGTATTTATTCGATATTCCTGAAGGAAAGAGACTAATCAGTAGACATACATGAGATGATAATATTAAAATGGGCCTAAAATAAAACAGATAATATTTGACCAACTTGATAATATTAAAATGGGCCTAAAATAAATGGAAAGCGAGTTTGTGAATTGAGTTCATATGATTTATGTCAGAAACTAGTGAACACATTACCATACATTTTACTCCCATAAAACAGATAATATTTGATCAACTAAGGAAGTATTAGCTTCTGAAGAAGGACTCTCCCCCATGGAGTTATCTGTTCTGATCTCCATTTTGCTTACACACAAACGGATTGCAGGTTAGCACGACTGGAATTCTTTGATCTCCAATGGGAACTTTGCATTGTTTCACATGAGATTGGCTGGCCTTTGAACACGTCCAGCTAAGGAAACCAGTCAGGCGCCTGGTATGTCCACAGCGAATTGACGAATTTTTCAGATTTCAGCTCTGGTTTTTCCGCCTCATTCTTGCGAGATTACTTTGCTACAATTTGCCGTAATCGTCAAACTGCATTCCATGCTTTTTACTGACCGTCAGAAGTTACTAGCTGCCATGAGCTCTGTCTTTCTAGAACGGGTATGAGACTTCGATCTTAGGAAGACACGATGCCCTATTAAGAATAAGTAATATTTGTGTCTTCGCACTTGGATACAAAAGTCGTAAATGGTGAGGACTTCTGATTCGTATTCTGGAGGAACTTAGGTCGTATCTCCGACTGGAAATTAAATAATGTCTGAGGTCTTCCGTGGTTTTCCTCGGTCCCTCAGGGCAAATTGCTGGATGCTTCCTAAATTTGTGTGACTGTGTCGTCTTATCGTCCGTCATTGTATACAATCTGGGCAACTTATGACATAACCCTTTAAAAGCCAGTGGTAAAATCTGTCTTACGAAAATTAACTTGTAATAATACAATTAAGTTTTGCATCTTAAGAACTGACGATTCGGACCTAATAATTCTGTTGTCCTGGCGCCAAAAACTGCCATTATAATTGCGTTTGCTTTCCTCACACGTGTCTTCAACATGGCTGACTGTAATGGCTGACTTCCATTCTCACAGTCCCTTTCGCCCTGTTTCGCGGTCTATCCATTCATCTTCTACACTCCCTCTTTTTGACATCTCTAGATTGTCTTCTTCCTTGCTGCACTGGATTCCTGGTCCTCCATCTGGCGACCATGCCAGCGTTCCCGTCACCCGTAACTTTAAATAGTAGATCACATTTTGTTTGTAACAAACATTTACCACTGATTTCTTAAAAAAAACATGGAATGTTATAATACCCTGAAACAGTAATGACATCTTTTAGACACAAGTAGAGATTTTATGTGAAATGTAAGAATTAAATGTTTTCCAAATAAACTGTTTGATATGAATCTGGGTCATGGTCTTGAATTCGAACCCTGGCCGGTTCATTATTTCTTTATTTGTTTCGTTTCATGCAGTTGTTATGTTGGTATTTTACCGAGCATAGGTAGACAAATGGTCGTACAGACAGACTGACATGGTCAGACCTGCACGCGTTCATTTTATTCGTGCAAAGAACGTATAATAAGCAAAGAAAGATAAATTTAAGGCAACGCAGACAGGAAACAAAGAGAGAGAACGAAATCAAATTAAGAAAATAACACATTTCGGCAATGAGTTATGAAAACATTTATGGTTCTTGGCAATTGTTACAACAAAATTGTTTTTATTTACATGGTCATCAGCATTGTATGAAGTGGGAAATAATTTCCCACGAAAATGTTTATGGTAACTATAAAGTGTGTCCAAATTTATTTTAAGAACTGAATTTCTGAATCCTAAGGGAGAAATTTGATTAAATAAATACGAGAACTTGAAAAAACTACCACTGCGTTCCAATTTTTTTTCCATTTTAAAGTTTTCTACAGAACCAGAATAAAAATTATCTGGTCTCAGCACTTGTTTTGTACATGTCTATATAAATCGAAAAATAATCGAGTGTTCGCACAAGCATTTTAGTTGGATTGTACCAAATTTTCTCAATACCCGTCCAATCAGAGTGGAGTTGTTTCTTGCGTTCACAGAAGACGAATGGACACAACCGCTATGAGTTCTGAACAAAGTCGTGATTACAAGTACAGCCACACCGACCATCCATCGGCTGGCTGTCTGGAGCTGGATAGGATTTATTGCGTACTGCATTCGGCGGCTTAGACACACAGACACGCTGCTCGCGTGACCGGTTAACGGCACAAGTTGGTCTACTGTACGTGTTTCAGGCCTCAGATTACGTTCCCAGCGAAGTTCTATTCTACAACATAAACTAACAAACGAAAATAGTTGAGTAACTGAAGTTATTGGTTTGTGTGCAGGCATTCAACTAATGCCCTGAATACCTGTGTGTAAAAGTACACAACTCAATAAATATACTGATTTAGTACATTACTTACGGGCTAACTCACTAATTACTTACCTGACTGAGTAATTAATTTGTTCACAAAGTGACTAACTGACAAAGTTACGTGCTGAATGAATCACTATTTAAAATTATTGAATTACTGGCTGAATAACCGACAAACCGACTTAAAAAATTCTTTTCTTGAAGTGTTAATTCTTATTCAGAACTTCAGCAATTTTTAAATTGATAATAAATCCAAAAATTCTTGAAGGTCACCTATTTTTATAAACAGTGAGGAACTTCAATCTAATATATATATACGTGCCTACAAGCTACTGAACTATAATCCATTTTGTTACGTAGAAACAGAAATAATTCAGCTAAAGAAGAAAAGTAAGTATTATGAGCAGGAACGTATTTCAAATTTGTTTTTGTTTTTGAATTTCGAGGAAGGGGCGGGTAAGATGTATCAAGATATGGGTGTATATGTGTCGATATTTTGATACCGGTCTATCATCTTTTTTTAACTGATATCTTCTGTGGCGATAATAGAGTACCAGGATAATTAACCAAAAATAAACAAGGGGCTCGCGCGAGCCCTCCCCCTGGCAGGAGCCCACCTGACCTATGTAATGTGAAATATACGGCATTGAGAGAAACATATTGGTCTGGACATCTGAAGGGGACGACCTCGAATGCATCACACACGTACCTGGAATCTCCGAATAATTTTGAACATGGTTTATTGCAAGTGTCTGAAAAGAAAGTAAGTTCCTAGGAAGTTACACTTCCAAGATGGACGTAACTCAACGAAAACTTCTGTGATTTATGAGGTGAATTTTAATACTTTACGATGGGCTGTTAATTAACTAGGAGTGGGGCACAAAGAATTTGGTGGGGAATCCGTGCAGTAACCATCGACTTCGAAGAAGGGAGAGATTGGAAAATAATGTTGAGATGCGAGATTTGAAGTTAATAGCAGTGACAAAGATGTAATTTTTCTTCTGCGTTTCGAAGCAGTATAGAATCGGAGAAACCCCGGAACCCAGAAAAAGAACTAACGCAGGATCGTGTCGAAGGCTTTTGTGTTTGTGGTACTAAAACTTTGGGTTGTACAACTAGAGTTGGTTGCTTATATAGAAAAGAAAAGACTAGATCATATGGACAGGCTTAGAGACGTTAGTAAAGAAATTTCCCGAAATTTATGAAACCCGAAGTTTCATTGCAGTGTTTTCCATAGACCAGAGCCATTTTAATTCAATCAACACACTCCAACCCTTTCTCCCTAATAATTACTTTAGTGTTAAATCCATCTCTGCGCAGGTCTTCAGAATTGTCTTTTCCCTTCAGAAATTTCAATCAAAAGTTTGTATTCACTTCTGATCGCCACATGCATGCTAAATACTCTACCAATCTCATACTCCTTGATTTGATCTGTAAAGTAATTTATGCTTAAGAGCATAAATTATGAAATTCCTCATTACGTATCAGGAATAAGATCGAGCATTAAAAACCTCTGAAATATCAGTTAATTTCTACGAGACTTCACAGCGCACCGTCCAAGAATATTCGTCTTCATAATCGCCACCGTGAGAACCTGAAATGTCACGCTGTGTTGCTTCCTCCTGGCTCCAGTCACAAACAGCACGCATATTTGCGTGTCCGTCCCCCCCCCCACTGGGTTCGCACCCGGGACCGCTGTGACCTGTTTTCTGTCGGTAACAGGTTTTGTCACCTGCGGTGTGCCGGCCACCTGCTCACATTGCCTAATCCTGTTTTTAAGTTAAATAATAAGTCTTCAGGAATAAATATGTTTTGGATCGTAATAATTGGATCACGAATCCCCCCCCCCAGTGGTCATTCTTTTCATCTAATCGCTAATATGAGATCATTACATTAAATGATATAAGATGGGTAGAACATGTAGCACGTACGGCGTAAATTTGGAATATGAACACAACGATCGTACAGCCTAATTTCCAGTCACTTTACCGACTGAGCAATTCTGGTCCCTACCCGTTGGGAGTGGACAGTTAACGTTGAATATCATCGTGCATCTTTTGTTTCCTTCTCAACTTTCAAAGTAGCTCCAGATCTCGGAGGAATCGGCGATATTTGTCTTTGACGCCGCGTTCAGACCACTTTCGAGTTGCTATAAAGTTTTCTACCCAGCAGATATCGGGGGCGCTTTCATCGGACGTAAAATATCCAGAGCTTAAGTCTAAAAATCATTAAAGTACAACTTCAATGCCCCATAATCTTCAAGGCGCGTCGTTTATGTACAGTACAGATATAATTTAATAGATAGTGTTATCATCTGTCCCGTGAACGAAAATATGTTCGAAAATCTTATTTCATATATTGGTAATCGCAGGCGATTTAATAACAATTAACCAGTCGGTAATTAAACTTCGAAATGTAGTCTCTGAGATAATAGGAAGTTGGAATAAACTGAATAATTAAGAGATTCGTGATTTATCCTTTTCACTAAATAGTATTGCATAAATCCATCTTAGCAAGAGAGTGAATTGGTGAGAAATGTATATAAAAGCGTTTTTAAAAATACTCCAAAGGAAGACATCACTTGGAAGACGTAGGTATAGATGTGAGGATAATATTAAAATACTTATTAAATTATTGTGGTGGATTGGATTAATCTTGATCTGGATAGGGTAGTGTGTTCTTATAAAAGCAGTAATGAAGTTAGAGGTTACTTTGTTGTGTGCCAATTGGTGAATATAACAAGTTTCTGTCGGTATCTTGGACA